GGTTCCTGGCGCTGAGGATGAGGTTCGTGGCGCTGAGGACAAGGTTCCTGGCGCTGAGGACAAGGTTCCTGGCGCTGAGGACAAGGTTCCTGGCGCTGTGGACAAGGTTCCTGGCGCTGTGGACGAGGTTCCTGGCGCTGAGGACGAGGTTCGTGGCGCTGTGGACGAGGTTCCTGCCGCTCAGGACGAGGTTCCTGGCGCTGAGGACGAGGTTCCTGGCGCTGAGGACGAGGTTCCTGGCGCTGAGGACAAGGTGCCTGACGCTGAGGACAACGTTCCTGACGCTGAGGACAGGTTCCTGACGCTGAGGCAAGGTTCCCGGCGCTGAGGAGAAGGTTCCCGGCGCTGAGGACTGGCGCAAAGGACCAGGTTCCTGACGCTGAGGACAAGGTTCCTGGCGCTGAGGACAAGGTTCCTGGCGCTGAGGACAAGGTTCCTGACGCTGAAGATAAGGTTCCTGGCGCTGAGGACAGGTTCCTGGCGCTGAGGACAAGGTTCCTGGCGCTGTGGACGAGGTTCCTGGCGCTGAGGACGAGGTTCCTGGCGCTGAGGACGAGGTTCCTGGCGCTGAGGACAAGGTTCCTGGCGCTGAGGACAAGGTTCCGGCGCTGTGGACAAGGTTCCTGGCGCAGAGGACGAGGTTCCTGGCGCTGAGGACAAGGTTCCTGGCGCTGAGGACGAGGTTTCTGGCACTGAGGACGAGGTTCCTGGCGCTGAGGACAAGGTTCCTGGCGCTGGGGCAAGGTTCCAGGCGCTGAGGACAAGGTTCCCGCCGCTGTGGACGAGGTTACTGGCGCTGAGGACGAGGTTCGTGGCGCTGAGGACAAGGTTCCTGGCGCTGGAGATAAGGTTCCTGACGCTGAGGCAAGGTTCCAGGCGCTGAGGACAAGGTTCCTGGCGCTGTGGACGAGGTTTCTGGCGCTGAGGACGAGGTTCCTGACGCTGACGACAAGGTTCCTGGCCCTGAGGACGAGGTTTCTGGCCCTGAGGACGAGGTTCCTGGCGCTGAGGACGAGGTTCCTGGCGCTGAGGACGAGGTTCCTGGCGCTGAGGACAAGGTTCCTGGCGCTGTGGACGAGGTTCCTGGCGCTGTGGACGAGGTTCCTGGCGCTGAGGACGAGGTTCCTGGCGCTGAGGACGAGGTTCCTGGCGCTGAGGACAAGGTTCCTGGCGCTGAGGACGAGGTTCCTGGCGCTGAGGACGAGGTTCCTGGCGCTGAGGACAAGGTTCCTGGCGCTGTGGACGAGGTTCCTGCCGCTGAGGACGAGGTTCCTGGCGCTGAGGACGAGGTTCCTGGCGCTGAGGACAAGGTTCCTGTCGCTGAGGACGAGGTTCCTGACGCTGAGGACAAGGTTCCTGGCGCTGAGGACGAGGTTCCTGGCGCTGAGGACAAGGTTCCTGGCGCTGAGGATGAGGTTCCTGGCGCTGAGGACGAGGTTCCTGGCGCTGAGGACAAGGTTCCTGGCGCTGTGGACGAGGTTCCTGGCGCTGAGGACGAGGTCCTGGCGCTGAGGATGAGGTTCCTGGCGTTGTGGACGAGGTTCCTGGCTCTGAGGACGAGGTTCCTGGCGCTGTGGACGAGGTTCCTGGCGCTGAGGACAAGGTTCTTGGCGCTGAGGACGAGGTTCCTGGCGCTGAGTACGAGGTTCCTGGCGCTGTGGACGAGGTTCCTGGCGCTGAGGATGAGGTTCCTGGCGCTGAGGACGAGGTTCCTGGCGCTGAGGACGAGGTTCCTGGCGTTGAGGACCAGGTTCCTGGCGCTGAGGACAAGGTTCCTGGCGCTGAGGAGGAGGTTCCTGGCGCTGAGGACAAGGTTCCTCGCGCTGTGGACGAGGTTCCTGCCGCTGAGAACGAGGTTCCTGGCGCTGAGGACGAGGTTCCTGGCGCTGAGGACAAGGTTCCTGGCGCTGAGGACAAGCTTCCAGACGCTGAGGACAAGGTTCCTGACGCTGAGGACGAGGTTCCTGACGCTGAGGACAAGGTTCCTGCCGCTGAGGACGAGGTTCCTGACGCTGAGGACAAGGTTCCTGCCGCTGAGGACCAGGTTCCTGCCGCTGAGGACAAGGTTCCTGGCGCTGAGGACGAGGTTCCTGGCGCAAAGGACGAGGTTCCTGACGGAACAAGACAGCTTATAAAGATAAAAAGCAGGTTATTCCAGGTGGATAATCGAAAAAGACGTGAAAGTTAATATTATGCGGTTTTGAACCGTGCGTTCTATTGAATTTCAAAGCCTCTGCAGCAGTAACTGGAATTTGGCACGGTTTGAAAATTGTATTTTTAGAATCTACGGTCCATAATCTTTCTATCGCTTCCTTACTCCTGGATCAAAAGACAGTTTATGAAGATAAAAAGCAGGTTATTCTAGGTGCATAATCGAAAAAGACGTGAAAGTTAATATTATGCGGTTTTGAACCGTGCGTTCTATTGAATTTCAAGGCCTCTGCAGCAGTAACTGGAATTTGGCACGGTTTGAAAATTGTATTTTTAGAATCTACCGTCCACAATCTTTCTATCGCTTCCTTACTCCTGGATCAAAAGACAGTTTATGAAGATAAAAAGCAGGTTATTCTAGGTGCATAATCGAAAAAGACGTGAAAGTTAATATTATTCGGTTTCGAACCGTGCGTTCTATTGAATTTCAATGCTTCTGCAGCAGTAACTGGAATTTGGCACAGTCTGAAAATTGTATTTTTAGAATCTACGGTCCATAGGCTTTCTATCGCTGCCTTACTCGTTTATCAAAACACAGTTTATGAAGATAAAAAGCAGGTTATTCCAGGTGCATAATCGAAAAAGACGTGAAAGTTAATATTATGCGGTTTCGAACATGATGTTCTGTTGAATTTCAAGGCCCTTGTAGCAGAGACATGAATTTGGGCGAGCTTGTAAATTGTATTTCTCAAATCTACAATCCAGTAGCTTTCTGTCGATGCCTTACTCGTGTATCAACAGACAGTTTATGAAGATAAAATGCAGGTTATTCCAGGTGCATAATCGAAAAAGACGTGAAAGTTAATATTATGCGGTTTTGAACCGTGCGTTCTATTGAATTTCAAGGCCTTTGCAGCAGTAACTGGAATTTGGCACGGTTTGAAAATTGTATTTTTAGAATCTACGGTCCATAATCTTTCTACCGCTTCCTTACTCCTGGATCAAAAGACAGTTTATGAAGATAAAAAGCAGGTTATTCTAGGTGCATAATCGAAAAAGACGTGAAAGTTAATATTATTCGGTTTCGAACCGTGCGTTCTATTGAATTTCAATGCTTCTGCAGCAGTAACTGAAATTTGGCACGGTCTGAAAATTTTATTATTAGAATCTACGGTCCATAAGCTTTCTATCGCTGCCTTACTCGTTTATCAAAACACAGTTTATGAAGATAAAAAGCAGGTTATTCCAGGTGCATAATCGAAAAAGACGTGAAAGTTAATATTATGCGGTTTTGAACCGTGCGTTCTATTGAATTTCAAGGCCTCTGCAGCAGTAACTGGAATTTGGCACAGTCTGAAAATTGTATTTTTAGAATCTACGGTCCATAGGCTTTCTATCGCTGCCTTAGTTGAGTATCAGAAGAAACTTTATGAAGATAAAGAACAGGTTATTCCAGGTGCATAATCGAAAAAGACGTGAAAGTTAATATTATGCGGTTTCGAACATGATGTTCTGTTGAATTTCAATGCTTCTGCAGCAGTAACTGGAATTTGGCACAGTCTGAAAATTTTATTTTTAGAATCTACGGTCCATAATCTTTCTACCACTTCCTTACTCCTGGATCAAAAGACAGTTTATGAAGATAAAAAGCAGGTTATTCTAGGTGCATAATCGAAAAAGACGTGAAAGTTAATATTATTCGGTTTCGAACCGTGCGTTCTATTGAATTTCAATGCTTCTGCAGCAGTAACTGGAATTTGGCACAGTCTGAAAATTGTATTTTTAGAATCTACGGTCCATATGCTTTCTATCGCTGCCGTACTCGTTCCTGGATCAAAAGACAGTTTATGAAGATAAAAAGCAGGTTATTCTAGGTGCATAATCGAAAAAGACGTGAAAGTTAATATTATTCGGTTTCGAATGCGTTCTATTGAATTTCAATGCTTCTGCAGCAGTAACTGGAATTTGGCACGGTCTGAAAATTTTATTTTTAGAATCTACGGTCCATAAGCTTTCTATCGCTGCCTTACTCGTTTATCAAAACACAGTTTATGAAGATAAAAAGCAGGTTATTCCAGGTGCATAATCGAAAAAGACGTGAAAGTTAATATTATGCGGTTTTGAACCGTGCGTTCTATTGAATTTCAAGGCCTCTGCAGCAGTAACTGCAATTTGGCACGGTTTGAAAATTGTATTTTTAGAAACTACGGTCCATAAGCTTTCTATCGATGTCTTAGTTGAGTATCAGAAGAAACTTTATGAAGATAAAGAACAGGTTATTCCAGGTGCATAATCGAACAAGACGTGAAAGTTAATATTATGCGGTTTTGAACCGTGCGTTCTATTGAATTTCAAGGCCTCTGCAGCAGTAACTGGAATTTGGCACGGTTTGAAAATTGTATTTTTAGAATCTACGGTCCATAATCTTTCTATCGCTTCCTTACTCCTGGATCAAAAGACAGTTGATGAAGATAAAAAGCAGGTTATTCTAGGTGCATAATCGAAAAAGACGTGAAAGTTAATATTATTCGGTTTCGAACCGTGCGTTCTATTGAATTTCAATGCTTCTGCAGCAGTAACTGTAATTTGGCACGGTCTGAAAATTTTATTTTTAGAATCTACGGTCCATAAGCTTTCTATCGCGGCCTTACTCGTTTATCAAAACACAGTTTATGAAGATAAAAAGCAGGTTATTCCAGGTGCATAATCGAAAAAGACGTGAAAGTTAATATTATGCGGTTTCGAACATGATGTTCTGTTGAATTTCAAGGCCCTTGTAGCAGAGACTTGAATTTGGGCGAGCTTGTAAATTGTATTTCTCAAATCTACAATCCACTAGCTTTCTGTCGATGCCTTTCTCGTGTATCAACAGACAGTTTATGAAGATAAAAAGCAGGTTATTCCAGGTGCATAATCGAAAAAGACGTGAAAGTTAATATTATACGGTTTCGAACATGATGTTCTATTGAATTTCAAGGCCCTTGTAGCAGAGATTCAATTTGGGCCAGCTTGTAAATTGTATTTCTCAAATCTACTATCCATTAGCTTTCTATAACGATGCCTTACTCGTGCATCAAAAGACATTTTATGAAGATAAAAAGCAGGTTATTCCAGGTGCATAATCGAAAAAGACGTGAAAGTTAATATTATGCGGTTTCGAACTTGCGTTCTATTGAATTTCAAGGCTTCTGCAGCAGTAACTGGAATTTGGCACGGTCTGAAAATTGCATTTTTAGAATCTACGGTCCATAGGCTTTCTAACGATGCCTTACTTGTGTATCAAAAGACAGTACATGAAGAAACAAAGCAGGTTATTCCAGGTGCATAATCGAAAAAGACGTGAAAGTTAATATTATGCGGTTTCGAACCCGATGTTCTATTGAATTTCAACGCCCTTGTAGCAGACACTTGAATTTGGGCCAGCTTGTAAATTGTATTTCTGAAATCTACGATCCATTAGCTTTCTGTCGATGCCTCATTCGTGCATCACTAGGTCGGAAGTGGAGATAAAAAGCAGTTTTTTCCAGCTGTGTAATCGAAAAAGACGATAAAGTTAGTATTATATAAGTGAGGGTTAGGGATTGGGCTGTTTCGAATCTGATGTTCTATTGAATTTCAAGGTCCCTGCAGCAGAAACGGGAATTTGTCACGGTCTGAAAATTGTATTTTTAGAATCTACGGTCCATAAGCTTTCTATCGATGGCGCATAATCGAAAAAGACGTGAAAGTTAATATTATGCGGTTTCGAACCTGATGTTCTATTGACTTTCAAGGCCATTGTAGCAGAGACTTGAATTTGGGCCAGCCTGAAAATTGTATTTTTGAAATCTACAATCCACAAGCTTTCTGGAATTATTATATAAGTTATTATTATATTATTATATAAATTGTTTCCATGGGTGGGTAAACAGGGAAACATTTGAGGGAAACATCACAAATGTTTCCTAGTGTGCCCAGGGCTTTACAGTCCGATATCGCTACCACTCGACCACTTGGTCGTTGTTGGAAGCATATCGCGACTTATTCACCTTGCCCACCTTAACCTTTTTTTCTCGCTTGTATAATTAATATTCGACACATTTCAAGACACAAAATGACTTCTGTAGGATTTGAACGACAATGGCACATTACACAACGTGTAGTCTTTACGAATAGATCACTTGCTCGTCGTTGGAAGCCTACCGCAACTTATTCACCTTAACCTTTTTTCTCTAGCTTGTATAATTAATATTGAACACATTTCAACACACAAAATGACTTGGGTAGGATTTGAACCACAATGGTACACATCACACAGCATGCAGTCTTTACCAATAGGCCACTTGCTCGTTGTTGGAAGCCTACCGCGACTTATTCACCTTATTTATTGTCTAGCTTGTGTATTAATTAAAATTCTACCATTTTCGAATCACAAAATGATTTCTGTAGGACTTGAACCACAATGGTACATTACACAGCCTGTAGTCTTTACCACAAGTTGAAAGCCTATCGCAACTTATCCACCTTAGCCTTCTTTTCTAGATTGCATAAGTAAAATAAATAAGTATAAAATAGTACAAGTTATCCAAAAATTACAAAGTAAGCAGATCAACATTTTCGTTATAATTATAGCATTAATAGGCACATACACCAATTCCCTAAAAAAATAAACTAACTTCAATACGTAAGTTCAAGTCATAATTCAGTACTGTTCATTTGACTCAAAATTCAAATTTAATGTGGTACGTCTTTCCTTTGCTCTTTTTCCACACCATTTTTGCGACAACTTTGTTGGATTCTACTTTTTCTCTAATTTTAATTGGACTCATTCGTGCTTGTAAGGCATCTGATACTTTTTGCAGCAATGGACGACTTGCGCTTTAGAAAAATGTTTAATCTGGGAATAACAAAGGATATTTTCGGAAAGAAGTTATCAAAATTAGAAAAACTGCAAAGTTTGGTTGCGAAATGTTGTAAAATACGGAAAGTATAGCCCTGCGAAGTTGGCAAATTTGTACACATTTCTATTACGTGCGGAAATTGGTAACTAATTTAGTTACCAATTCACGCACGTAATTTTTTTATACAAATTTGCCAAATTTGAAGGGCTATATTGTCCGTATTTTACAACATTTCGCAACCAAACTTTGTAATATTACTAATTCCAAGACGCTCTTTCTAGCTGTGGTGATAGATTTCGTTGTTCTTACTTAGATTAAAATTTAGTCTAAAGCGCAAGTCGTCCATTCACCGCTTGGCCTTTTATAACTTCGTACTAGCTGGCGTACTTCTGTGTCCCGTTCTCGCCATAATCTCCATGGTAGAATTGCCAAAAAAGTTAGGATCATGCCTTAACTTTTCGTCCATTTTTTTTTGCCTCTTTCAATTTTCGAAAAAGGGGCAAAAATTGGGAAAAAAGTAATGCATTTAATGCACTTTTCGTCCATTTTTGCCCCTTTTTCGATTTTCAAAGGAGCAAAAAATGGCAAAAAAGTAAGGTATTTAATGCCTTACCGTTTCGTCCATTTGTTGCCCCTTTTTCAAAAATCGAAGGGGCAAAAAAGGGGCACGAAAAGTTAAGGCTAATGCCTTACTTTTTGTCCATTTTGTGCCCCCTTTTCGATTTTTGAAAGGGGGGGGGGGGGCAAAAAGTAAGGCATTAGCCTTAAATATGGTGGTATTTGGCCATTTGGGAAATATATCTATCTGGGAAACACTGTGTGTACAACAAATATTAAAGCAATTACTAAATATATTGTCACAGAGACATACATTAGACATTATAAAATACTAGTGTTGTCAGAAAAATATTTTTTGTTAAAACTAATGCAAATAATGTGTTTGCTACCTAGTATGCCAAACATTTGCTAGAAGATTTTGTATTAAAATAACAATATCTGTATTGTGTATAAACTTGGGATCTTTGACTTTTAAATTATATTTATTCTTTTTGTACACACTATATTACAATTCCTCAATTTGCATTTATACGCCACGATTGTTACTATATATAATGGCCATTCACCATATATTAATGTTAATGAATGCATATACAATTTATATAATTGAATTAGCATTAAACGCGTCGTAGGCGCTGTTGCGCAAGGTCTACACACGTAAAAATGGTTTTCACTCGTTTCCAACCATCGAACTGACGTTACGTCACTTTTTGGATTTATTTTATTTTGGTTAGGGTTAGGGTTAGGGTAGGGTTTGTTACATAGCCACCATTTAACAGCACTTCCATCTTACGAAAATGACGTCGTCAGTTTGGTGGATGGAAACAAGTGCTCACCCGTAAAAACGCACAAGTTGTAACAAACTGCAGCAGACCTGTAGCAATGATGTTCCAACAACTTGTCACAACAGGATGTGTTAGCATACACAGCTTGTTCCCAGCTTGTTGACAACTTGCTACAAGGTTGTTGAGCTCAACAGACTCGTTATCGTCCTGCAATTCAACAATTTGTCAACAAGTTGTGAGTGACAGCCTTGTAGCAACTTGATGGAATAACAGCATTGTTACACAACTTGTTGACAAGCTTGCTACAAGCCTGTTCCGAACACATCTTGTTGACAAGTTGAGATTTTTACGTGTGTACTATTATGACCCCCAGCATACCGATAGGCTCGACTAGCGGCGACGCTTTGTATTTGGTTAAGCACGCAATTTATAACAGGAAAACGAGTAACTCGAAAATTGCTCGAATGCAGCTTGATATGGTTTGCATGGCGACTTCGTGTTAGCCGTCTTACGCTGTCCACACGTGCCAACGAAAACTTTATTTCTGTTAAAACAGCTCAGACCAGTTGTTCAAATACTTGCTCATGTCATCCCCAGTAATGATGGAATAGTAATGATGGTGTACACACGAGTCCCTTCAGCAGAACCTTGGTTCTGTTGAAGCAATTGCTGAAATACTTGCTCGTATCATCACCAGTAATGATGGAATACTCCATGACTTTAACATCAAGTCGAGAATGGAATCCTATACGATGGTGTACATGCTTTAGGAGAATCTTAGTTCTGTTGAAGCAGCTCGGAGTACTTGCTCAAACATTCTCTCGCTCGTATCATGCCCAATGAAGGTTCAACGCCTCTTAATGGGAAGCTCAGAGCAATTGCTCGACTACCAGCTCAAACAAGCCCAGAATATTCTCCCCAGGCATGTAGCACGCGGCGAAACCCACTGGAAAGATCTGTTGTTATGATGACGAAGATGACGATAGCCATGAATCACTGTCTCTGTTTTCTGGCTTCACTATTTTATAATCTATTAAATATTCTGGATACGCCTGAAAAAATGAAGGATAGTTTGGATGACTTTCCATATTACCACCCCGATATGACGTCATATAAGGTTTAGGATTAGGATCAAGGATTGGGATTAGTAATATAGCTTTACGTTTGGGCCAGGCCTTTTTTTATATAAACTTTATTTAGGTGTTTACCCCAAACGTCTAGGCTTAACAGGGGGGGGGGGGGCTAACAATAAATTTTTTTTAAAGAAAAAAAAACACAAATTAGGAAGAATGACACATAAAACTAATAATAAGGACAACAAAAAGCAAACTTAAGATATATTATACAAATAGTGACAAAGCAAGGGCTAGCAAAACCGACAAGTATCCAGAATGATTGTTGGACAAAACTAAACAGCGAACAATTTTCATCATAACTTCATTGATTGGATCTTTTCAACATATAATCGAGTTTTACCTTGTCATTTCTCGCTAGCCATGCTTGGCCAACTAACTTAGATTAACCGTCAACGTATGAAGCGCAGCGTTAGTTGCTCTGGACGAGTGTTCACAAAATAAAGACATATGTGCTATGTTACGGTACGATATTCTTGAAGTGACAGATAGGTTGAAAGGCTAATCATTACCTGTTCTCCTCGATATACAACATATTCAGCAAAAGAAAGTCCTCCTGCGCTGGGTCTTCCGATGACAGAGTGATGTCCAGGTGGAGAATGAGCGACTTTTATTGCGGAAAATTGATAAAATGGTTTGCCAAGTGCTGTGCGACATAACAACATTTGTCTGAAAAAAAAATATGCAATTACGTAATTTTTAGTAATACTGAATTTTTAGTAACATTGGCTACACGCTAACACACACGTAAGCCCTGATCATCTAAAATCGTCAACAGGCTTGTAGTTGTAGCAACAGGCTTGTAGCAATCTTGTCAACAAGTTGTAACAATGTTGCTACAAGACTGTCATTCACAACTTGTTGACAAATTGTCGAATTGGAGGATGATAACAAGTTGTTGAAACAACTTGACCGAGTCTGCGGAGCTCAACAACCTTCTAGCTGACAACTTGTCAACAAGCTGGGAACAAAACACATCCTGTTGAGAAGTTGTTGGAACAGCATTGCTACAATTCTGCTGCAAGTTCGTACACATTTTTACGTGTGTAACTCTCAGCCATTTTCATCAACTCTCAGCCATTCTCGGGCCAAAAAAAAAAATGTGGGTTTCCGGTTTCCCGACCCTACCTAGCTTTTGGACGTCGAAATCCCGACCCTAAACTTTTTTATTGGATCATGCTTGTAAGGTTTCCACTTAGAGGAAAAGTTTGTGGAAAATTGAAATTTGAGGCAATATTAGGGAAATTTATCTTTGGATGTGGAAGCACTGACTAAACAAAATGGCGTCCGCTTGTTCGGAAAAATAAAAAAAAAGTTTAAAAAAAAAAGTTAAAATCGACCTACCCTACCTAAGTTTTTATAAGAAGAAACCGGAAACCCACATATTTTTTTTTTGCCTCATCAACTGCGAGTTTTTGGTAGCCAGCGAACAGGTAGTCTGCGATACGAACAGGCATCGATTCGGGTTTATTTCCCTCGGGGGTCTCCTATTACTCTCACGATAACACGGTTTCAGACACACGATATGAATATTTACAAGATTTTACCTGGAACATTCATAACATGAACGATCTTTATGAGCAGGACAACCACTTCCACCATTTATACCATAGACATATTGATTACTTTTAGAGGAATTCTCAGCAAAATAAATACCTAGGAATAAACTTATTTCAAATATTAGAAGCTCATGCAATAAAACATCACAATATGAATGAGTCATCATTACCTGCACCAAACATCCCACCAATGTAAGCATGACGTTCATCAAATCCTTTTTGAACGATGGAATTGACAAACGGTGAGCCTGAAAAATATGCAAAGATATTGTAAAGTATTATTCAGTAACAACGGACAAAACCATTCAATGAATCTTTTAAATCTTACCATGAAAAAGCATTCTCTCATTGGCATGATTATGATTTGACTCTGCGACCTTAAAGGAGGAGATAACTTGGTTTAACAATAAATTGTAAGCATTCAATGACAATAGTCTAATACACCCTTGTAGAAAGTACTGTTTTGGCTACAGAGCCTCGTTTTCGTGATTCAGATCTCGGTTTTAGAGACCTTTATCTTGTTACTGATGATCTACTTTTATAAAGGTCTATTGTAACTGTATATGGAGTTAAACCTGGATTGCCAGGGGTGGAAAAATAGGCGAGCATGCAAGCACTGCTCACAAGAAATGTTAAACAGCTGCAGGAAATTCGTTTGAATGAAGAGTTGCTATTGAAAATTTGAAGGAAACCTTAACATCCATGTCCACTATGGGCGCAACAACATATGGTTGATAAACATTATTCCTTGAATTTAAAACAATGGTCAGCTAGAACACTATATGTTTATGCACATGCAGATTTAGCACAAAATACTCCGTTGGTCTGCGGGAAATTTTTGTCTCCAGGTTGTGGTCCCAGGAAGAAAATTCTTTTTTTGCTGCCCTGGAGCTTGCTCTGTTGTAGTTAATAACTCCTCGTAAAATGATGTACGAAAGCTTATTAAAACTAAAACTAAACTGGCAACAAGATAAAAGAATCTATATCCAATATCTCAATCACTATAACGAGGCTGTATTTTTGGAAGGGCGCATTTGTGACTTCATGTTTCGTTTGCCAACAAACACTACTAGAGAGTTTGGCAAAAACAAAGAGAACGTGCTCATCAACAATAGCATCTTTACTCTAAGATAAAGGGGACTATAATTCGCATTCCTTAAGCATTCTAGTACGCCGTATAGTTGTTCAAACTGCTACGATTTTTACATCATTTTCACGACTCATGACCACGCCAACAGAGTAAAACGTTCACGTCGTTTGGCGTGTTTTATGTGAATTCACTTACTATTGCGACTTCAGGGAATTTCAGGGTTGTTTAAAAGAAAGAAAGTGCTTTTAAAAGTTTAGTAATTAAGTTTTGGCTCGAATACAAAAGTATAAGTAATTTTGTTTTCTGCGGTCGCCGTTAATGTCGGTTGCCAAACTGACTATTAGACACATTTAGATCGAGGACGCAGACGTCAAAGACGACGTGAAAATGGCGTCAAAATGGCGTGGCATATCCATACTTGGGCAAAACACGTCATTTTCACGTCGTCTTTGACGTCCGCGTCCTCGATCTAAATCTGTCTATTATAACCTGGCCAACAACGAGTATTTCAACATTTTGTTATTTCAACACTATGGCGGGGTATGACTACTGGAACATGGGGTGCAGTGTAGGTAGCATTTTACTGTAGTGGCAATTAAACTCCTGGCAAAGGCGATTAACTTTCCCAACTAAATTCCTTAATTCGCTCGGAATCTCAAGGCGTTCTTAACTTTTTTTGCATGGAGTTCAAAGGCTTACTGTAGTGCACTACGTTCACTGGACCTCCACGTTTGAGATGTTTTAGAGGAAGTCCGGACACAAACACGACAGCTTATTGTAAAATACTAAATTCACCGGATCCACACGTCTCAGAAATTTCGGGCACAAACCACGGGCGCCTATAAATTTACCTCTTGCCTTCTGTAGCAATATCTTTCCCACATCTTTTTATTGATCACCCGTTCAATCTGGAAATATGATAACACTATTGGAAATGTAGAAGATATGGAATTTCTTGATGCAGAGGAAATGGACTCACAAGCATATATACAGCTAATTCAGTTAATGTTATCCTCTGAAAGTTAAAACTCACAACCACAAAACATCGACCTGTAAACGTGTGCGTTTATGTCTCTATGTACATATACACACGTAAAAACGCCAAAGTCGTTACAGGTCTGCAAACAAGTTGTTACAAATCTGTTCACAAGCTATCAACAAGTTGTGTTCGCACTGCTTGTTCCCAGTTGTTGTAACAAGTTTGGAACAAGCTGTTGACAACTTGTGACAAGCTTGATGGCATTATCAGACTTGTTACAAGGTTGTTCTAACAGGTCTGATACAGTCATGATATAACAGGAATGTTACAAGGTTGACGACACAAGGTTGTAACAATATTGTTAATTTGTTATATCATGACTGCATCGGACTTGTAGGAACAACCTCGCAAAAAGTCTGATAATATCAACAAGGTTAATTGTTACAAAAACTGTCTGTACCAGTGTTGGTAGTACCAATGTGAAAATGCTGTGCTGAGTGGTTATATTATTACCTTAAAAAAGCTGTTAACAGCGTGTTCCAAACTTGTTGACAACTTGGGACAAGCATTGCGAACACAACTTGTTGACAGCCTGTTGGCAGACTTGCTACAAGATGCGGGATTTTTACACATACTCATTGTGTGATTGTTTGATTTAATTTCCAAGAATGCGTTTTTGAATGGTTTTTAAAGATTTACCATGCAATTTACATTGATATTGTAGTCCATGTATTATATCATACACGGACTACAATATCAATGTAAAAATTGAAGTCTCACCATTATTGGTTATCATAGATTCCCCATATTACCATAGGCAAAAACCATGCATGTTTAATACTTACCATTTATGGTATTTTCCGGTGCACAGGAAAAAATAAAGTACCATTAATGGTAAATATTGAACATGGTTTTTACTAACTTACCATATGGGAAATCCATAATAACCAATAATGGTAACAGTTTTTACAATCATAAACTCATCAATGAAATTTTTTTCCTGTGTCTGTGCTCAGGGGTCGAGATTTTGCTGTTTTCGAGTTTTACTTCAGAGGACAACCTAACTTTCTTCTAACTTTCTTTTTTAATTCAGCTTTCTAATTTTTAGCATGATTACACAAATACTGTATTATGCATGATAACAGGACCGCCGAGATAATTCGCGGGCCCCGCGGCAAATCTTCTCTGGGGGCCCCATGACATCATTATTTTTTAAGCTAGACCCAAGCCAATCACCCAACTATAGACCTTTGTATAGAACAGTTGCATATAAAAAGTTCAACATTTATCAACCTTGATAATATTGTAAGAGTTAAATATCCCTCCTGCTTGCCCGTGGTCCCGATGTTCTCGTATTGTACTTTGCATCTACAAAATAAAATTGAAAATTAATTTCTTACTTCAATAACACCTGATTTAAAGCAGAGTTTTTAACATTCTTAGATACTTTAATATACCTCTTCAGATACGGATATAAAATCTTTATCTGTTCGACCTAATTCTTGAAGTATTGTACCGTGATTTGTGGCAGATAACGCTGTAAATGGTCCATTACCTAACAATGAACAGATAGATTGTATTTACATCATGACCTTCTGACTCTTTTCCACAGGTCAGAAGAATCAGGCTTGCTAAATGTTTATCGCCCCTTGGCCCTTTGTCAGCAACAGTGCTGGACATTACAGGGAGCTCAATAATTTCTAAAAGCTATTCTGGCATACGACAATTACTAAATGCTGACGCCACAATGAATTATTGATCCAAAAGTATTAAAAATTGCATTGTATCAGAAATTGCGTGACGTAAGCACTTCTGAGGTCTATTCTGCCCCTTTAATTGAAAAAACTAACCACGAAAATCGATTACGCATAATTCAAAATCAGTAAACTCGATGTTTTTAACAATAAAAATGTTTTAAAATGTTAAAAACATTAAGTTTGCTGATCTTGAATTATGCTTAATTGATTATCCTAGTTAGTTTTTTCAATTAAAATGGTTGAAATGTGCCTTAAAAACCATCATTCAAAAGGCTCAACTGACTGTGCCTTTAAAAATTGCATTGCTCTGTATTAAAAATTGCGTGACGTAAGCACTTCTGGGGTCTATTCCTCAATTCAGTTTATGGCGAAGTTTCTTTACGTGTTTTTATCAGTGAACTCTAAGGGAACTGGAACGATAACTTGGCGGCCATCTTTGAAGCCAAATTGAAGGCCGCCATGTACGTATGGAGTGGAAAATACGCCACCAAAAAGATGTCTGTTTTCGACCACTAAATAGCTGTATTTCAACAAGGAAAAAAGCTAAAAACTTTCAACAATACCTGAAATTTAATACAAAACATGTTTCCAGAACGTACAGCAGTTATAAAGTACTTTTTTCAGGAGTCAAAGTGCGAAGTTTTTTTTGGCACGTTCAAACTTGTGTAATATTTTGAATATCAAGCTGTTACCCAGGAAGTTTTTGCTGTTAGTGGATGTAAAATACTTAGAACTATCCAGGAAACCAGGTTTGAATCTTTAAAGTTGAAGCCTTTTGATAAAAAAAGTACTTTTTCTTGCTGATTTTCGCTCAAAAACAAACTTTTGACTGAATTTCCCGCTCCTCGAAACTCTCCCCAGTCCTTTTGAAAGTTAATTTATTGCTGGCCGTGCTCGCGAGAAGCGCCATTTTGGCTTCAGGCAAGTATGGGCATGTTTATCTGCAGTTAGCGTTCCAGTGTTATTACAGTTCACTGGTTTTTATTCGAATACATACGCCAGAATAAGAATCGTATACAACTAATTGTATCGCGTAGAACAGTTTACAATGGTTTTACAAAGGTTTACCTAGTTTACACTATCAAAGCTTTTGTGATCACAGTAGGAATTTTGCATATGGGTAATTTCTAAGTTTTGAAGGATTTGTAAGAAATGTTTGAGGAAACTGAGTTGTAAATATTGAATCAGTTCCCTCGAACATTTCTTACAATCCTTCAAAACGTAGAAATGGACCTATTCCCTAATGAACAAAATTTTCATCTAGACAAGTCTAGACAAACATTTTATCACAGCTTGAACGAGCATCACAAAATTAGTAATATTCCGAAGTTTCGTTGCAAAATGTTGTCAAGACATTTGTTGCAAAAATGCGGATAATATAGCCCTACGAAGTTTGCCGTTTTTCACTCATTTTGTATTACGCACGGAAATTGATACCGCTTTCTGAAAAAAGGTATCAATTTCCCGTGCGTAATACAAAATGACTGAAAAACGGCAAACTTCGCAGGGCTATATTATCCGCATTTTACAACATTTTGCAACGAAATTTCGGAATATTACTAATTTTGTGATGCTCTTCAAGCTGTGATAAAATCTTTGTCTACCCTTGTCTAAATCAAAATTTTGTTCATTAGGGAATAGGTCCATTACCTATGCAAAATTCCTACTGTGATCACAGAAACTTCGATAGTGTAAACCAGGCTTTTGAGCAGCAAGCTTTTCAATACACTATTTGAACGAATCCTGACCTAGTCCCATGTTGGTTATCCTCTCTTTAACAGATTTAAGTATTTTATGTCGATGTCCATAAGCATTGATTCCGATCTCTTTGAGTTCTTCATGACCCATGTCTAGAAGAACATCCCATGTTATCTAGAAACAAATATTGATCAAGTTTTGATGTTGTTGAAGTGTGACTAACCCCAAATATGACTTTTTGTATGTGTAATATTTGGGTCATTCGAAGAAATGTAATATATCTTTATTAATAAAAAATCCCATATTGATAATTTTTTTTCACTGTCAAAGGTTCCGGATACAATGTCATTAGCTGAATTGCAAATTAGTTTTTTTGTACCAAAAATTAAAGTCACCTAATGACATCATATCTGGAAACTTTGACAGTGAAAAAGTTGATCAAGATGAGGTTTTTTACTATAAAGATACATAATACATTTGTTCGTAGAATGACCCAAATATTACACATACCAAAAATCATATTTGGGGTTGGTCGCACGTTAAACACCGGGCAATGAATGTTTTATGTCTGTTATCACCCAATTTACATTATTGTCAGTTAGGCAACGTTCACACTGTATCGGATAGGTTTTTGCTTCGTTCGCGAAACGTTACGCCCAAGTGTAAACAGCTTCCGCCCCCACCCATCTATGGCAAAGATATTGCAGACGTCATTTGAAAGAGTGAGCAAGCTATACCCGTAAATAAGGTCAGAATAGTAAGTTGTTGTTTGCTAGACGCCATTTTGAATCACGAATTGTTCCCGTAAACGTAGCCTTAATCACCTGCCTATAGTTACGTCTGCTCTGATAAGGTAAACATAAAATGGAATGTTACCAACCATTTAAGTTATATATGTCAGCGAATTGGGCAGATATGTCTATATTATGCCTGTGTCTACAAAACACAAAAGCCCAGGCTTTGTTTACGCCCGCATACATTCTCCGTCACAAAGGCGTGAGCAGACATTGTTATATGCGGACAGTACTATGCGGGCAAACATTGCAATGCGGGAAACATTGCTATACAAGCAGACATTGCTATTCGGGCAGACATTGCTATGCAGGCAGACATTGCTATGCGGGCAAACATTGCCATGCGGGCAAACATTGCCATGCGGGCAAACATTGGCATGCGGGCAGACATTGCCATGCGGGCAAACATTGCTATGCGGGCAGACATTGCTACGCGGGCAAACAGCTGGGCTCATGTGGTCTATTAAAGAAACATCTGTTTCCACGAACCTGTTCTTGTTCAAATATTTCATTAAGATGTGCCAGTTGTAAACTGTTCAAAAATTGTCCAATATCCACATCAAGGCCTGGATGAACTGAGAAATAATAAATATATTATTGTTTAGTTGATTGGTTGGTGAAGGCTGCAAACTATCTGAAAAATACGAGGGAATAATGTTTAGACTTTCGAGCAAAGGCCCTATGTCTAATCTAACTTCCAGACGATTGTCGTGAAAACATCATGAAGTTTCCACAAATGTTTCTTTTCCCACACTAAGAAATTATCCTGGAAAACAAAAATGCTTGCCAACATATTCAGAAGTACTTTTTCCCAGCGCTATTATTGTTTCACATCCATTGTTTCTTCTGTTTGCAAGTATTCGTTCTGTTTACTGTACAGGCAAATGTTCCTGACAAATATTTCTTGGTGTACACAATTTTGGAAAACATGAAAAGATATCTTGGTTTGCGTACCGTAGAAAATAATATGTCTTGATATTTGCTGTGTTGGTGTAATGTACTCAGGTGAATAAGGTTCGATTCCCACCGTGGCCAGGCATATTTTTCAAGCCTGCCCGGTGGGGATATACACTCAGAGTAACACCACACAAGGATCTTATTCATCTAAGTACATTACACCAACACAGCAAATATCATAATTATTAGATTACACTGATATCGAAGGACTCTGTTCCAAAATATCACATGCTCGAACCGACATGACCGCGTAGCTCAGTTGGCAGAGCATTGGGCTAGTATTCCAAAGGTCGTATGTTCGATTCCCACCGTGGCCAGGTATATTTTTCAAGCCTGCCCGGTGTGGATTTACACTCAGAGTAACATCACAAGCATAATATTTCTTGATTTGCCTACTTATGGAAAAGATGGCTGGGAAACAATCTTTCTTAATTTCGCCCGGACCCACGTTACTCTTGCCTTAGCCCGCAAAGCCCGCGTGCGCCTGCTATTCTTGTCTGTATTTCCGTATTTACCTGGTGGAAGCTCCATAGCAGGTCTTTCTGTCGAAGCTCCGTCTCCTGAGCCAGGAAGATTGCTGGCCAGCAGTCTTGAGTTAGCTGTAGATAAAGGTGAAGCACCATTTTCTTGTTTCATACTTGGTTGTACAGGTTTACTTGGGGTTGCAGTCTTGGCACAGTGTAACATTGCATCACTTAACAAAGCTTTCACATCTTCGGCCTGTTGAGAATAGAACGGACAAACATGAATGATTGTATCTCAATATAGCTAATCTGTGCAGACACAAAGATAAGAACGAGCCTTCTACGAAGGCTACAGTAGGAGCGCTCTAAACGCGGAGTGTAGGTAGTGTTTGATACTAAACTGATGAAGCATCTAAAGCCGGTTATAGACGAGCAAGTTTTCTATGGACCTATTCCCTAATGAACAAAATTTTGATCTAGACAAATTTTGATCTAGACAAAAATTTCATCACAGCTTGAAAGCGCATCACAAAATTAGTAATATTCCGACGTTTCGTTGCGAAATGTTGTAAAATGCGGATAATATAACCCTGCGAAGTTTGCCGTTTTTCAGTCATTTTGTATTACGCACGGGAAATTGATACAGCTGTCTGAAAAAAGGTCCAAGTACGTGTTTCTATGACAAGTTTTTTGTTTTCTGACCGCCACACTAGCTATTATTAGCCATTACATATTGCAGATGGCTGACCAACCGCATGCCTGTGCTCAGATCACTTTGCCAAATTTTCTTTCTTGAACCATACAGACGAACAAAATTTGGACTGCGCCAATGTTTTCTATGACAAGTGCACTTGTTCAAAAGCTGGCATACTACTTGTCATTGTAAAAATTGGCAAAGTTGCCAATACCATAAATTAAGGGACCGGACATTAATAATGGGACGGGGGCGGTGGGTTACAAAAGGGGGGCGGCTTCAACTATTTTTGCCTGAATTGGGGGTGGCCTCAAACTGAAAAATATGTGACAAGGGGCGACCCCAATTTTTTTAACACTTTCCTAATCATTTTCAATCTCTCGCCTTTATCGTATCCCACAAAATATTTCACCTTCTTTAGTTCCTATTATCGTAGTTTCCATAGATTATTATGTATATACAGTTCACCATAGGAGTCGGATTAAATAACAACCATTTTGAATACTGGTTATCTAATTATTTAGGCTACACAATGTCTTACACCAGTACGTGCCCTTTACTTATTTTACACCAAAAAATTTAACGAATTAAATGTTGGGGGGGGGGGGGTCCCTAAATGTTCTAGATGAAGGTAGGGGCGTCTTTGAAAAAGTTCAATATTTGGTATTTATGAACCACCGCCCCCACCCCCCCTCCCATTATTAATGACCGGTCCCTAAGTATGGACAGATGTGTAACTTCAGTAAACAATTTGTCCCATGGTCGCTATCTTCCTAGCAAGTGTCGCTCGCGTGATTATTCGCCATTTGGTAATACGTCATTGCTTTCAAAAATGCTTTCAACACTTTTTCTACAACTTTAATTGCTTTCAACAACTTTAAAATTCAACAAATGATGCTCTTGATTGTTTAATCCATAAATTTCGATTTTCGATCCAAAAAAGCCGCAATAAAATGCAAAAGTTCATGTTTTTCAGGACGCCATTTTGCTGGTCCCGGATATAAAATCATGCTCTCATTGGCTAAATGGAAACTCCTCACCAATGGAAACACGAGTACACATCCGGGACTTGAATTTGCCCCCCCCCCCAATAGTTTTTTTTTGCCTGGAGCCGGTTGTATAAAACTCTTAATCACTTTTTTAATCACTATTTTGTAGTTAAATAGTGATTAACTCTCAAATAGGCGCTTCTTATACACCCTTTTCATAAATGGCTGCGATTAAAAATTCTTTTATGTGCATATAAATTGGCCCAACTAGCCTCGTTTCTGAGTAGAAATTCCTTTGAAATCTCAACATGAGTACGAGGCTAGTTGGGCCAATTTATATGCACATAAAAGAATTTTTAATCGGCAGCCATTTATGAAAAGGGTGTATTGGATGACGTTTGCACTTAATCATAGTTAACTTTAATCACTTTTTTATACAACCGGCCCCAGATGTCAAGATTGCGATGCCTCCACTAGTGTTATTTATAATCTCTATGATGGCATGAGCATGACGTGTACATATAGGGAAATTTAAGGACATGAAGTCCGATTAAGTTACATATCTGATATATACCTAATCTGTGCCAATACAGACGAGCAAATATGAAAACTTGTCTTAAAAAACTTGCTCATCTGTAACATTTCTCTATTTTCTGGTTAAATCCATTGCTAAATTTCACGATGAAGTTGGTTTACTCACTGTAGAGAGGTCCAACGGTGTCTCTCCTTCCAAATTTCTCATGGTGGGATCACCGCCATGTGCTAGCTGCAACACATTGAACAAAACATTTAAAACAATCTCAACGTATAGACCAATTACGAAACTTAGTGACCGCGCCTTAAACTACACGAAAACGAGGCTTATTATGCAAAAACAAATCATTCTGCTATATTTTTATACGGCGAAAAATGAATTTCAGTGTTTGAGACGCGTTTTTATGGTAATCTCTTCATTTTTTTTCAATATTTCTGTTTTGACAATGTAAATCTTTATTAAACTTGTTCATAGATTTAGTCTTACTTCAAATTTCATTGTTTTTCGCGGCGTGCGAGGCAATGTTTTGCTGTTTTTCGCCGTCCGATAAAAGAAGCAGATTATGCCAGAGAAAGAATCAGGTATTTTCCGTCTGTTTTATTAATACATTTCAAAGACTAAGTTGTAACATTGATTAATTTTGTTTCAGTTGTAATATAATAGCAAGTTTTCGATTTTAACTTTAAAAATATGAAAGAAAATGTCGGGCAAAATTTGTAGAAATTTTATGTTATTATCCTTTGACAAAATCGTTTTTTCTCGCACGAAGTCTAAAAAAGTCTGGGTAGAAAGAGTTATATTTTAGTTTGTTAAGTTATACTGGCTATTTTATTTGCATCTTGATCAGATTTTAAAGTCTAGATTGATCTTTTCCATATATTTGTTCCATCGCATGCTAAAACAACAACGAAATATCTCGCCAAAGCGGGTAAAAATATAGTGGGAAATCGATGTTTAGATAAATTTAACAAATATTTGTATAACCTAGCACTAAATATTAAGAAAAGATCAAAGAGATTAAAGAAAAAACACTTTTCGCTATATAAAAATATAGAAATTGTTTTGTTTTTGCATAATAAGCCTCGTTTTCGTGCAGTATGAAGGCGCGGCCACTAAGTTTCGCAATTGGTCTATACTTGAGGAAAACAATATTAGTGAAAGCTTAGAGCAAGGTGACAAGATCCAAAGAACAGAACTGTTCTTACCAATAAAGCGCAAAGCTGTGTTCTCCCTTTCTGCGCCGCTTCATGTAACGGTGTGAAATGCCAGCGGTCAGTCGCGTTAACATCTGCCTTGTACTTGATCAATAACGCCGCAATATCCAAATGCTATGGAACAAAATTAGAAGACAACATACACATAAAGTTACTAAAATAAAAAAGTACATGGAAAAAGTGGCAGGGACACTACAACAGCGGGTAGCCAATTATAACTTTATCTCATATCACTCTGAACAGAACATCTCTCTCAGAAAGACACCCCAGAGGTATCCGAGACAAACATCTCTCTAAGACAGACATCTCTCCGATACAGACAACTCTCCAAAGCAGACACAACAGACAACTCACCCCGTAAGACGAGGCATTGTGCAGAGGTATCAGACCTCCTTTATCTTGAGCATTTACATCCGCCCCAGTCTCTAGCAAATACTCGGCCACTTCAAGATGATTATAACCAGCTAGAATGAAAGAAATAATTTTACTCCCAAGTACAAGAATATACTTCAACAGACGGGTCTCAGCAAGCGTCATTGGGCAGCAGATCGCAGTGACCCTCAGAAATATAAATAATGACAGCTCCCAAGTCTATTTATTTGCCAGAAAATACGAGAGACTAGTATATACAATACCAGTAATGAAAAGAATTAACATAATCTTCTCACTCTGATAACTGTCGGTTAACGTCAGCAGCACGATATTAGAGACCTTACGATTTTAGGACGGCAACGCGACGCCAAAACAAACTCCTTCAAATAAATGGTAGTAAAGATAGTTCGTCGTATATTATCAATCGTATGAATTTAATACAGTCTTAGAAGTTGAAGACATGGGTTTTATGGCTGGGAAGAGTTCTGCTAAACCCAGTTTGAAGTTGCACTTGTTGTGGCTTGGAATGCAGCCGTTGTATCAACACGTGAAAATATGTGATTTGGCGTTGTAAACAGAGCGAGGACAATGTCTAAACTATTCATATATTGTAATTACTCAACTCTTTTCAATGATCCATTGTATTGGTAGCCGTTGCCGTCCGAAAATCATAAGGTCTCTATTGCTTAGTGAAACGCACTTTATTCCGGTAGAAATCGAGAAGCCATAGACTAGAATTTATTTGTTTTTAAATTTTCTATAGCAGAAACAATACCCAAGCAAAAATAATACCTAAACATATCTGATGTTAAGCTAGGATTACGTTCACACGAGAGCGGACGAATCTGGAACCAAATACAAATTCATCCGGGTCCATCTGTTTACACAGGGACATGTACATGAGTTCAAATTTGTCCGGTTTTATGCGTCTCATGTTGTAATGTAGCAAATCAAAGGGGTGCGAGGCAGATGAATAGTTTACACCTACCAGCTAAATGAAGGGGTGTGGAATTCCGTCCCTGACTATCACGACAGTTGATGTTACTGGAATTAGCCAGCTTCACAACCTACAAATCAAATAGCACTTTGTTCAAACAGCAAAGTTTTGCAGACGATACCACTACCTGAAAAATACTAAAAGAGACTCAATGTTTCCTCAATGAGACCTTCGTCTAGGTCGGGAGAAGAAATTCAAGGCCGGATTTTGGTGGAAATAGTGGTGGAAATAGTGTGCCCAAGTGTTTATCTAAGTTCTAAGGTGTTCCACTGAAGAGTGTATAGCATCATGTATTGGGACAATAAAAGGCGAGAAACAACTCAAGAGGTGTAATTTAACACTTGCCCGGGGCAAGTGAATATCATGACGGGCAAGTAAACCTTTTATCTTGCTTGCCCGATTGGGCAAGTTGCCTTGCCACAAAAAGCTGAGCATCTTTAAGTTTATGTTTTCATAATCGGATACATTTTTTATAGTGCATGTACTCATTGATTTCAAATGTTGTTTTTTTGTGGGCCAAAGCTAAGTCAGAAGCAGTATAACATAGCTATATAGAGCAGTGGAAGAATGGGTCGACATGTTGTCCCATTAACTTATACCCCCTCTACCTAGGTACCCCAGTGGGCATTGTCTGATGGCAAGTGAATTTTATTCAGGGCAACTAATTTTCATGTCCAACTTGCCCTGAGGGCAAATGGTCAAAAAAGTAAAGTTACACCACTGAACTGGTTCTCCCAAGCGTCACTATTGTACACGTGAATGTCATTACGCCAAACAGAAAAGATAGTGCCTTAGGGTCTCTCTATATAATAAAGGAAACATACTTTTGCTAAGATGCCTTTCTTGGCTGCGTCCAGAAGTGCAGCATCACCTAGAAAAGAAAGTCGAGTTAAAAAAGACTGATAAATAAATCAAGATCACTCAACTATATACTCTCACCTCTTAATAAGTCCGACACATCGCTATCCTCATCTTTGACCAAGTCTAGAGGTGTTTGACCGTCACGATTTCGTTTTGAGGAATCTGCGCCATGCTAAATAGATGATAAAAATTGCTACAGACAGGTTGCAATATACTGACGAGGACCTACAATCAGGTTTGAGACAAATGAATTGAGACAACTTTTTGATTGTCTCACACCATACGTTCCAATCCCTCTCGTGCCTTCCCAAACAAAACTATTTAAGGTGCACGGCATGGAAAGAGAAGGAAGGATGCAATTCAATTTAGTATGGAAAATAAACCAAACTAAGGCGACTAATTGTCTTACCCTTAACAAAAGTTTACAGATCTCAAGTTTCCCTTTGGTTGCGGCTTCGTGTAAAGGAGTGTATTTCCACAGATCAGCAACGTTCACATTAGCACCATGCTACATGAAAATTTCAATGATGAAACTATTATTAGTATAATTGTAGTTCAAGAGAGTACTGAAGGCTGGTTTATATTATCAAAGTTTCTGTGATCACAGTATAGCAATTTTACATCGGTAATTCTAAGTTTTGAAGGATTTGTAAGAAATGTTTGAGGAAACTGATTCAGTGTTAAACACTGAGTCAGTTCCCACAAAGATCTCTTAAAAATTCTTTAAAAACTCCGAATTTACCTGTGCAAAATTTCACAGAAACTTTGATAGTGTGAATCATCCTGAAGACTTGCAATATGTATATGTAGGAATTGTTAACTGAAATACGGTTAGGGTCATAATTAAAGATATTCATGCGAGAGACATAACGATGTAATTCTCAAGAGTTGTATTTAGGTTGCTCGTTGGTACCTTGACAAGTAAGTTTGCAACTTCGTAATGTCCATATGAGCAAGCATTGTGCAACGGAACTAAACCACTACAAAAATAATATAGTACACATGTCTGAAATTATAAACCAAGCAGTGACGTATACAGGGGCGGGGAGGCGTGTAACAAAGACGGGAAAATAATTTTTTCAACCATACATGAATGCATTGATAGGCTATAAATTCAGCTATATATTGCATGGAGAACTAAGATTTTCAAGAACAACAGGTGGCTATATGTTAGCAATCTAAATCCCCCCCCCCCCGAAATAATCGCGAAGTGTCCGCCACTGAAACCAGGTAAACTAAAGAAGCAACAAAACACTCGGCCATTCCTATTTGATTCCTGCCAGAGTACTTATTGCTGCATTTTTTGCAACTGCTCCTGGTTATGTTTCGCTCGCTACTCTGGTTTAAATAAATGATTACAAAGCCCAGTCGAATTGTAATCAGGACCCAACGTTTCGACACTCTAGTCTAGTGTCTTTATCAGGGGTGATGCTTAAATACCCAAGGGATGACGTCACCTGCCAATGAGATGCATTGGGTCTGAAAATTGTATATACATGCATGTTTTTTTGCATTTCCACCAGCCAAAAGCCCATCAACAAATTATAGTTTATAATACTTTTTGTTTGTGGAAACACCACGCAAATTTATTACTGTGTTTCCACAAAGAAAAACTATTATTTGTTTTATCGCCATGCAAACCTACAAATAAATTATAGTTTGTTATACCCTTTATCCTTTGCATGTACATCGGCACCACCCTCCAGTAAGAACTGTACGACAGTAACACGGTTATATCCAGCTGCAAAATGTAAAGGCGTAGAGTGTCTACCATCTAGATCTCGACAGTTGACTGTCTTAGCATTACAGCATTGTTTCACCGTCTCAAGATCACCAGTCTTGGATGCTTCCAGTAATTTTCGTGTATCATCACTTTCACCACTTGCCTGAAACTCTTCTACATAGAAAAAATAACCAAATCTTCCTAACTGTGTATTCAAATGACCAAACTTCAATACATTATTTCATATTTCAATACACCTTAAGCATAATGACGTCACAAGGCTTGATGCCCGCGAGGAATGCTGGTCTTAGTAGTCATTGCCCGGGAAAATTTCGATAGTGGCCATTTTGAATTGTTTAATTTTCCCGGGCGATGACTACTAAGACCAGCATTCCTCGCGGGCATCAAGCCTTGTGACGTCATTATGCATAAGGTCTATTGTGCACAACTTTGGTGCACAACTTTACGTTACTACCAGGTCAGGACCAGTGAGCTCTATATATATCTGGAGCAAGAACTTCAGTCATTCGGCCCATGAAAAAAGTGAGTCCAAGATGATGGAATTGACCATTTGCGTAACAGACTAAATTTTGATCTAAACAAGTCTAGACAAAAATTTCATCAGAGCTTGAAAGAGCATCACAAAATTAGTAATATTCCAAAGTTTCGTTGCGAAATGTTGTAAAATGCGGAAAATATAGCCTTGCAAAGTTTGCAATTTTCAGTCATTTTAGATTACAAACGGGAAATTGACAGCCTCAAAGGGTTTGGGGCTTTCAATTTCCCTTTTGTAATCTAAAATGACTGAAAATTGCAAAGTTTGCAAGGCTATATTTTCCGCATTTTACAACATTTCGCAACGAAACTTTGGAATATTACTAATTTTGTGAGTAGTTTTGTGAAAGTTTTGTTGAGATCAAAATTTAATCTATTACGCAAGTGGTCAATTGACGTCCAATAGCTCTGAAGGTTGTAAACAGTTTTTATACCATTTCCCCCCCCAGCTAATCCAGTTTTTGCTAACGGACCGAAACGCTAATCAAGTTTTCAGTTCAAAAATCATAATATTAAGGCCGTTTTCCACTAGTACGTACGGAATGAGTACGTACCTTCCCGGTTGCCCTGCAGTAACTTTTGTAAAGGTTCAGGTGCAATTTGAGCTGGAGTAAGACCTTGTAATGACCTGGCATTCATATCAGCACCAGCACATAGCAACATCTTGCAACTTTGCATGTGACCAGCATGTGCGCTACAGTGTAGAGGTGTTTGACCAAGATTATCTGTTGTGTCCACCTGAAACATAGCGGTCATCTATTACATTCACATGTATAAAAATATGCAGGAAAACTTAGTAGATATAATTAACGTGGTTGGTTAACTTTTTAAATGTTGTAATTTTTGAGATGTTGGGGACCGGTTAAATATTATGGAGAGGTTCAAATTTGACTTCCATTACTGCTATACCTCTCACAGGCTTAATACGCATTTGATTGGTTAATCGAGTACAATAAATGCAGCTGATTGGTTAACGGTACGGGTAGTAGAAGTCAAATTTTGAACCTCTCTTAAGGACAGGCCTTATAAAGACCCATTTACACTTGCAATTTTTGCTGCGATTTCTAGTGCGGTTTTTTCCTGATGCATGTGAACGAGTAGACGAGTTGCGGAATGTTCGGAATGTACATGTACCCTCATCTGAACATTCATAACTCACCCACTCGTTCACATCCATCAGAAGAAAATCCCACTAGAAATCGCAGCAAAAATTGGGTAATCGTTCCATGTTTCGCGCACCAATATAGTAAACGTTATGTAATGGATATTATAGTGCACTGCAAAGTCAACTGGATATACATATACTCCATATACATATATACACACCCTAACCCTAACCTTAAACCTAACCCCAACCCCTAACCTATAATGGTGCGCGAAACATGGAACGATAACCAAAAATGGTAAGTGTAAACGGTCCTTTATGTCAAGAATATATCCAAAGACCAAAATAGCACAATAACAACATATGAACACACACGGCAGGCTTTTTTCAGGGACTTTATAGGGCCGTAAAACTGCCCCAAAAACTCAATCTTGAATTGAGTTTTGAAACTCAATCTTCTCACCAAAGTATCAGTGCAGTCAAAATGAAGTTGTTTCAGTTAAATTCGTGACGTGTGGAAATTAGTTTTCAGTTGGAAACCCAACAATTAAGAAAAAATGGCTGGAATTCATCTCACAACACAAGAAAAACTACGCACTCGCCATTTTTAACCAGTTTATAGTGTCCCTTACTGCCCCTGCTTTAACACATTGCGTCTCACTGTATATTTATTGAGTACAGGTGTCAGCCCCCCGGTGGGGGCGGGGGGGGGGGGTGCAGCCACCCCAGCTGTTCAGCTAAACTCAATCTTATCTGCAAAAACGGACCCAAGAGAAAATGCGGAAAAAACCCTGCTGACACACCGTACGTTTTTTTTGTTTGGGGGACTCACTTCAGCCCGCCACTATTAAATTCCTTTCAGCGCATGTAGCACGGTTTGCCTGGCGATTTTAAGCGATTTGTTTCAAGCTTTAGGATATCCTCATACCTGAGCTCCAATCTTTAACAACATTTCAAGAACATCTAAATGAGATTTCTCGGCTGCAATATGTAACGGTGCTATACCATCTCTGTTTCCTGAATTCACATCACCACCTTTCTTAATCAACATATCAACCATTGTCTTTCGCTTGGCTGTTGGAGCTGCCACTGCATAATGCTTTGGATGAACAAATAATGCTTTGTTAATAGTGCTGAGGCGGTTCTTGGAAAAAACCGAAACCGTCAGGAAAAAACCGAAAAATTGGTTTTTATCTAATAAATAACACACAGACATAAAACCATGTAGCAAGTGTTTTTATTATGTGAAGAATTTTAGTTTTACAGTAGATGCTTAATATCAAAAGCTTACAGAGGTATAATAATACAAGCAAGAAGACAATGTCAAAAGCACGTATTCAGCTAGGATTAGCTCAAAACACTAGCATTTTTATCTCGTTTTTCCCCGCTTCTTCGTCTTTTTCCGGTTTTTCGTACTTGAACTTTGGCAAAACCGAAAAACCGGTTTTTCAAAAAACCCGGTATTTTTCCGGTATATCGAAAAACCGCCCCAGAATACTTAATACATTACGCATGCACTTTACTGCAAAACATCCCGGAGTATTTTGACCTCCAAACTTGAAGCACTCGCACACTGTTAATTTCAAGGAGTTAATCTAACTCTTAGTAGAGGTATTTTGAACCGAATTTAACTCCAAGAGTAAAATTAGGTTCAAAATAACTCCACAAGGGTTAAAGTAACTCCCTGAAATCAACAGTGCAGTGACTCATGCAAAATTTTAAGTAAAATTTACTCAAATTAATGAGCAAATTTATATTTAATTTTTTGAGTAAAGTTCCAAATTTACTCAATTTTTTGAGAAAGATTTCCTTTATCCAAAAAAATGAGTAACTTTAATCACAAGTTTGAGTAATTTTACTCAAGTAATTATGGAGGACTTTTAATTGTTCATTCTTTTAAGTCTGGTTTCCATATGCTCGTAACGGTTGTAAATATTGAGTCTCAACAGCCGAAATACGACAGTTTAACACTGAAAATATGCAGTGTGATTATAAATATAGAGAATACATACTTATGATTTATATGTGGGTTAAAGGTAAAACAACTATTATAATCTGGCTTTAGCGGCACGATTTAATATATTTGCCGTTCTCCATATCCTATAAACTAAGGAAGAGAAAAATGAGCAGAGTACAATGAGCAGAGAAAAATGAGCAGCTCATTTTAGAGAGATATAGAGAATGCCAAAATATATTAAACACATTAATATATTATACAAAATATATTAAATCATATATTAAACCATGGTCAGCTTGGTTAGCGAGGTTGCATATGTACTTGGATCTAGACTTACCAATGGCGAATCAAGTGAAAACGGATGTTGAAAACTTGCAATGTCTGCAGCCAGAATCTTCTTCATCTTGACAACATCACAGCTAGCACAAGCTAACAACAAACTGTGACCACGAAATTCATCTGAAATGACAAGTTATTCAAACTTAATATGCATGCGTTATTAAAAACCAACAACATACTATAGACCCATTGCACTGGCGTCACAAATCCTTAGAGTGTCCTCCAGATGCTCCCTAACAATATCTGTTCGGGTACAACAACCACATACAGCGCAAAAACTAACTATTTTAATACAAACTTATTATAAAGTTTCACAAAATTTACTTTGTTTACAGAAGTTATATTATGCATAGATTGCTAATTTGTCCTCCAGATGCATCGTCACCGGCGCTGTGACGTCATGTGCAATGGGTCTATATGGAACAAAACTACACTTTGCTAGTTCTTTTATATATACTGAAAATTTGAAAGAAAACATATATGAATTTCTGAGGTTCATTATAATTGCCTTGTTTTGTACAAAAACGCCGAGTTTATTTACGTGTTTTTTTTTCACAAAACAAAACAATTATTTAGATTTTTAATTGTTTTATAATTGTTACATGTTTCTCCATACATTGCAATTTTTCTTGTAGATCATCAGAAGGGCAAACATCTACAGCACTTTTGGAATGACAATTTAATAAACCTGGATCAGCACCATGACTTAGAAGTAAAGAACACACATCCACTCTACAAAGAAGGTAACACTTATTACAAACTGATTTTTTGGTTTAATATGTTTACCACTCCAGTTCTGAGGTGGACGGAAAGCCTTGACAGGTTTTATAACCCAGTTTTTATTATTATTTAAACTTATTTAAAGCCTTTCAGTTACCTGATTTTCAAAGGACCGTGCTAGTTGCAGAATACAATTATTTAACCACGCATTAACTATTTACAACAATCATTAAAATATACACAATAATATAAACATAAAAATTAAACTTTAATTACATTAACATGCATAGGTATTTACGTTGTGAAAGTGTTTCCTTAATTCTTGTTTGGCATAGTGCATGTACATTTAAATAGCCTTTCAAAAATTATTAATTCATGAGGAAAACACAAAGAAAAATTATAATAATCGTGTCGTATCTTCATATGTGCTAGAGATTTCCCTTGATTTACATAAACTTTAACTTTGATTTTCTCGACTTACGCAACGAATTTTTTGAAAATTACTTCGCCAATGAACTTACTAGATCGATCGTTTTTGAAGCAACTTAAAACATGAGCAGCAATGTTTTATCAGACCTAAAGAGACTCGACTTCGCCTCGTATCTTTCTATTTGATAAAACACTGCTGCTCATGTTTTATCTAGTACTTGAAAGATTCTGTAGAAATACTCTCGTATTTGTTAGAAATGTCACTTGGTTAAACTATTCCAGGAAACGGCTCGTCGATATGAATAACTGCGTTTTAGAAATCCAATTGATACCAATAGACCTTTCCCCTTATGAGTGAAATTTTGATCTAGGCAAGTCTGGACAAAAATTTCATCACAGCTTGAAAAAGCATCACAAAATTAGTAATATTTCGAAGTTTCGTTGCGAAATGTTGTAAAATGCGGATAATATAGCCTTGCGAAGTTTGCCGTTTTTCAGTCATTTTGCATTACAAACGGGAAATTGATAATCAGGGGCCGGTTGTATAAAAAAGTGATTAAAGTTAACTATGATTAAGTGCAAACGTCATCCAATAAGAAGCGCCTATTTGAGAGTTAATCACTATTTAACTACGAAATAGTGATTAAAAAAGTGATTAAGAGTTTTATACAACCGGCCCCAGGTGATCAAACTGATTATCAATTTCCCATTTGTAATACAAAATGACTGAAAAACGGCAAACTTCGCAAGGCTATATCATCCGCATTTTACAACATTTCGCAACAAAACTTCGGGATATTACAAATTTTGTGATGCTCTTTCAAGCTGTGATGAAATTTTTGTCCAGACTTGTCTACATGTAGATCAAAATTTCACTCATAAGGGGAAAGGTCTATTGACAAAGTCCCAGAGGGTTATAGTTACTTGGGGATCGATGCATAAGGGTAACAGGAATTTATCCTGAATTTAAACTCTCGTAATTTTCTTTGCACTATAAAAACACTTTTGTCCTAGAGCTTTGTAACCACAATACCTTTTCCAGTCTTTTGCCGAATAGAAAGTGAGGTTCAATTTTTAGTAAAGAAGGAAAACCGGAGGAGCTGGGTTTCCGGTTTCTTCTTATAAAAACTTAGGTAGGGTAGGTCGGTTTTAACTTTTTTTTTTAAACTTTTTTTTAATTTTCCGAATAAGCGGACGCCATTTTGTTTAGTCAGTGCTTCCACATCCAAAGATAAATTCCCCTAATATTGCCTCAAATTTCAATTTTCCAAAAACTTTTTCCTGTAAGTGGAAACATTTACAAGCATGATCCAATAAAAAAGTTTAGGGTCGGGATTTCGACGTCCAAAAGCTAGGTAGGGTCGGGAAACCGGAAACCCACATATTTTTTTTTTCCTATAGACATTTTGTCTTTCACAGTCACGAAACAAACATCTGCCTTGGGCAAAAAGGAGAAGAAAACAAAGAACACGCAAACCTTGCAAGAGAAATTATTGTGACTTGAAAATTTTAGAGCCATTGAAAAGAAATGAAAGAATACAGAAGAAGAGTGTAGAACAATGAGAGAAAATGTCTTTTGACCATGAGGAGTAGCAATCAGTATATTAAGGAAGTGACGAAAATGTAGCTCAGTATAGCGTATTTTAATAATCATGGAAAAATATTTTGATTTACTATCATCATTGCCACATAAGAGACCAAGAATTAAGCGAACTCCTACATCTTAAGTGCTTATATATACAGTATGTACCAGTAGCGGGAACCCTTAGGTGTTGAATGTGACTTACACATACAGACAAAATGAAAAGAAATAAAGGAATAAGAACTAGAATTTTAATAGTATATGGAACTTTGGGAAAATGTGAACAGCCCAAGAAGACCAACAAACTGCAGGTGAGAAAATCTCTCTGGGAACGTAACGAGCTTAAATGTAAAGTACAGCATGAAGAAGTAAATGCAGATGTTTACGTATGTTATAGTGAGATGCTAAAGAAACGGACGAATCGTAAGGTAAAAAATATGTTGGTATTAAGACCTTGATTTAGAGGCTGCTTCATGTATCGGTGTAAACTGCCATAAATCCATTGCATTCACATTGGCACCATGCTGAAACACACAAAAAATAACCCTTTATACAGTAAGTTCAAATAAATATTATACAGGAGTTCTATGTCAGATACATTATCAGAGGAATACGATACTCAAGCTGGTTTTGAACTCGACTTTATGTTAACAATACTTGGCTCATTTCTTCCAATATTATTTGGCTAATTTCTTCCAATATTATTTGTTATACAAACCTTGATAAGTAGTTCAGTGACTTCAAAATGTCCATATGAACAGGCATTATGTAAAGGCACAAGACCGCTAAACAAGAAGAATATAATTTATAATAAATTTCAAGATCTTCAATTTAATTAAAGATGAACACAACAATAAATAGTCTAAACTTCGGGCATCTGATCTTCCTCAGTGGAATAGAATGTTGAAGAGGTTTTTTGTTAATGGAAATTTCTAGCAAAAACTATATAATATTACATAAACTATATCAAGTTCTTTGTAGGTTTGCATGGCGATAAAACATATAGTGTAACACTTTTGTTTGTGGAAACACCACGTAAATTTATTACCGCAAAGCTTTCGATCCGTAAGCCCAGATCTTCATCAGTGCTAATAATATGTCACTTGTTCAATTCACACACCCTTTTTATATACCAAAGTGTCGTGATCTGTTGGCTCTCGTCAAATAAACAATATGGCTGTGGCTAAACATACTTGGACTTGGATGGGACGAAGCAACCATTTTGGTGATTGATTGTTCTCTTGCAAAATGAGAGAGTCAATTGAAATCGAGAAGCACGATACTATAGATCAGGAGGGAAAGCCACTAGATAGTATGTGGCATGCTCTCTTTAATGTGTAAAATTACTTTCTCGTCTTGGATGCGCGCGGTATATAGTCCTTTCAGCAGGGCTTAAATCTTCAGCCCTATGATTGCAGTGCCCGATGCAACTTCTGACTATTGAGCTACACAGCTCAGTTGGACTGTTATTGGTAAGCTCTTGGCAACTGAACCAGTCTGCGTGAAGGCTGCACCAGGATTCCAAGGCTACAAATTTGATTCCTACCAGATGGCGAATAGTTCCATTTTCTGCACCCAATAATACCCAATTAGGTCTAAAATATGCATAGTTTTCACACAAAATTTCCATTTCCAAAAACCATTGAACAAGAATACACGTCACAATACAGCGTACTGTTATACCCTTTGTCTTTAGCATGGACATCAGCACCATGTTGTAGAAGTAGTTGAACAATCCTCACACGATTATAGCCAGCAGCCAGATGCAGTGGAGTAGACTAGAAAATACAACAAACCAAATGTACAATATCATATGTGTTGTTCAGTTGTATATCAATTATACTTCTCTTTCAGTGATAGAGGACTGGAAATACAGTACAAACGTAACAGGTTTAAAATGTATAGCTCAGTTGTATACTAACCCATTGAGTTGCATTCTGCCCTAATGCACTCTATTTTATTATTTTACTCTAACTCATTGAAATGAATATAACTGGAACGCTATACCTTCAGATAAACTGCCTATCTTTTTCTTGAAACCAAATCTTCAAGACCCTTAGACCCGCGTGTTTATATCAGGATTGACAGATTAAATGCTCTTCGCATGGCAAACTGGCCTTCAATAGGTAATCATTTTTGTGGTAGTGTTAACTTTGACCAGTGCTTTTTCTGAAGTTGTTGAGCAACACTCTCTGGTTTTCTTAAGACTGTATACACTTTTCTCGTATTTGAGTAATGCAGCACTCTCTCTAAGATTTTTACTATTATGGCGATCACGTACCTTGCGTCCATCACTCGCATGACAGTTTACATTGAGAGGTGTAAGTAAAGACATGAGTTTCTCTTCATTACCACTCCTAGAGGGATACAGAAGCAAGTATAAATGCTACAATTGAATGTCATGATTGGGAATTGAATGGCTATTCTATTACCACTGGACATTTGACTAGGTAATTCTAACAAACCTTGATGCTTCCAATAATTCATCTTTTTTGTAATCTCCTGTAAAATAATGTTAGGAGTTACTATCGCAAGGAACATGCCGATATGTACATGCAGGATGTACTACTGTACAACCAAAAAGTGTCTTTTTCACTGCATAAAAAGTACACTATAAAGTATAAACTTGGTGGCCACATGTGTATATAAAGCGTGGAACGTGTATTGTGGGTTAACTGTAAACTAAAGGTTGTTCAAGCAGCAATGATAATTTTCTTGAACTACAAGATCTTCTATACAACATTTGAGTTCTGTTAACCAGCATTTGAACTTTCGTTTAGCCTAGTGACTTATTTCAATACATCAAAATCATCATCGCCCTTCCATCATTTCCTCGCTAATGCTTGGCAGCAATAAGAGACCAGTGGTATCCTCATCATATTAAAAATCCACTCAGATCATTTTTGATCACCTAGCTAGAGCAGATGAAGGCTGGATAGTGCTAACCACTGAAAAGAGATTTTTAAGCTTGCTACAATTATTGTGTGATCATCCACATTTAACTACCCTTCATAACTCATCTGACATCAGACAGGGCAAAGTGTGTAACCCACTATTAACCCAATGGACCATTTGCATTATAGACTAAATTTTGATCTAGACAAAAATTTCATCACAGCTTGAAAGAGCATCACAAAATCAGTAATATTCCGAAGTTTCGTTGCGAAATGTTGTAAAATGCGGATAATATAGCCTTACGAAATTTGCAATTTTCAGTCATTTTGTATTACAAACGGGAAATTGATGCCCCAACACCCGATTGGGCTGTCAATTTCCCGTGCGTAATACAAAACGACTGAAAAACAGCAAACTTCGCAAGGCTATATTATCCGCATTTTACAACATTTCGCAACGAAACTTTGGAATATTACTAATTTTGTGATGCTCTTTCAAGCTGTGATGAAATTTTTGTCTAGATCAAAATTTAGTCTATAATGCAAATGGTCCATTCCTTTGTTCCCTGTTCTCTTCTTTAGTATTTTACTCTGTCTAACACCAGATGATTTTACATATCAAGGCATAAGGGGAGAGTCTTGCACACTGATGGGTTAACCAAACTATCTGCCAAAGTGTCTTGTTAACCTATTACTGTAAGCGCCCAAATGCACCCTACTTTATTATTTTAGCTAACTCTGGCCACAGGCAATTTTACTCATCACAAGGAGAGTCTTATGTACTAATGGGTTAATGTACTGTGTTTACTAAGTGAACCTACATTCGAAGTTAGTGATTAACTGATAACCAGTATCAGAATTGGGTCAATTTTTACCTTATCGGCAGACAATCAGAATTGGTAGAAATATCTATATTTCTGATTTTGTAAATTAAACCGATTGTTTAGAAATATGCACTTTAAAAATGGACCTATATTTCTATAATTACTATAGTGTTTGTGGAAGATTAAAAGCATATCAGGTCCAAGATAAAGACTGAAGAACAAACCATTGAGAACAGATTTGCATGAAGATTCTGCAACATCCAATGGAGTTTTGCCATCTGTGTTTCTGATGCCAGGATCTGCACCATGCTGAAGTAAAACTTTAATGAAAAGACAAATAATTTAGGATCATGATTTTATAGTTCATTTCTTGTCAAAATAGACAATTCCCATTATAAACTAATTTTAAAACTAGGCAAGGAGATGCAAATAGATCACCACAGCTAGAAAGAGCATACTAAAATGAATAAAATTGCAAAGTTTGGTTTGCGAAATGTTGCAAAATGCAGAAAATATAGCCTTGCAAAGTTTGCAAATGTTGTATACTTTTGTATTGCGTGCGGAAATGGCTACCATTTTCGGCCCAAATGTGGTAGCAATTTCTGCACGCAATACAAAAGTATAAAGTATATTTTCCGCATTTTACAACATTTTACTCATTTTAGTACGCCCTTTCCAGGAATATACTTTTTTTTGCCAAGATAAAAAATTAGTCTATAATGGGAATTGTCTATTGATCAGAGAGACCTACCAATACAAACATCAACTTTTCCTTTCACTGCTGCTTCATGCAGCGGAGTGAAATTCCAATTGTCCCTTGCATTACCATCTGCACCATGTTTCAGCAATAGCTTCACCACCTCAGCATGGCCAAAAGAACATGCATTATGCAATGGAATGAGACCACCTCAAGTGAAATTTTAAAAATGTTATTAAATATTGTTTTATTGTGGGCGGCAGCACAATTAGAGTACGAGGGAAGGGCTTTGTCTTTTTGTATGTGTTGACATTAGAGAAAGTATCCTAGGTTTCAGTAATAGAGATGTCATATCCCCATCATTTGTAAATTTGTCCATGAAAAAAAAAATTGGAGAGACAAAAACATCATGTTAAATTTATTAAGCCATACATAGTCATATGTAATACTTTGTCCGCTGCCAGACAGACACTTCAAGTCACCAGGGAGAGACCTTTCAAATTTTAGAATAAAAAGATTGACAAACGTCAAACGTCATAATGAAGTGTTAATAGTGTACATTTCTCTTGCGTAGTCCAAATTTCTTCCTATACTCAGGGTTCTCCTTATCAGGCGGTAACCGGTAAAATTTACCGTTTCCACGAGCACTGATTACCGCCTGGAGAAGCCCAAGTTAAATATACGTTTGTGTACATTTGTTAAGAAATAATTAGTAATAAGGTGTGAGAAAGTCCTTTATATAATAACTACAGTGAAACACGCAATTTTATTGGTCAATAGTCGTGCAGGATCAGGCTATCCTGCACGAGGAATTATAATGCCTTCGCGGGATTTTCAAAACGTCATAGTTTCACTGCAGTTATTTTATAAAACAATTACCAAATGGTTTTCCAAGCAGGATAGCGTGATCCATGCACTTGGGATGTTGCTCGACTTTTGGAAAAGTGTCAAAATACACTCGCCTGCAGCTCGAGTATTTTTACGCTTTCCGAAAGTCTCGCGACATCCCTCGTGCATGGATCACGCAATCCTGCACGGAAAACCATTCGCCATTCGGTATTCCTTTAATAATCAATCAATCAATCAATCAAGTATTGCTGAAATTCCACAATATTAATTATTTAGCATCGATAGATTGAATACAGAAATATCCTATAAACCCGATCTGTGAACAAAATTTTTTGGCGGAATGATTATATTATCAACCCAGCGTGGGCCTGAGGACTGAGTAATTAAACTGGCGTGTGTTTAGAATATAATCTTTAGTATTCTATAAAAGTTTAAATCTTCCCTCAAAATGCAGGAAATCCCATTTCAGATTTCAAAATTTTCCGTTGGTATACCCCAGACCCCCTAGAGGTTTGTATAGGTGCGACTTGATGCTTATACCTGTTGAAAAACCTGTTTTACCTGTCCCACTCACAACTATGGAGAACCCTGTATACTGTGAACTATTATTAGACACAAAAATGTTTGATATTCCATCTCTCTGAAAACGACAGAGTTCCGGTTCTGGCCATACTTTTCATATTAGTTCCGGCCGGAACCGGAACTCTGAAAAATCGGGGTTCCGGCCGGAACTAACCGGCTGGAACCGACTTCCGGTGCACCCCTAAGGTCAACTCACCCAAAAAAGAACCACTGCCATGCCATTTTCATACTCAAAGTTATTACAGCCAAACCTCTTGTCAAACACACTTGTCTAATACAGACAGTTTGCTTGGTACCTTCAATTTCTGTATTAGAGAGGTTCAACTGCATAGAAACATATGATTGTTTGGCAAACAAAGATTGTATACACACATACCATCATCTCTTGCATGTACATCAGCTCCGCTATGAAGTAAAACTTCAACAATTTCTTTCCTTCCAAAACCTTAAAACACAGAAATCAGGCACTGTTAGGATAAATTCTGATGGGCAACATTACATTGAAATAGCAACATGCTGAAAGTAAAGCAGAGACATATGACATGAATTATATCCAAATTGTGACAGCGGCATGAAAAGTTAGAAAACAATTACATAGATTCTGAATGCAACGTAGCAACATTTTCAAGCAGTGATATTACATGTTTTCAAAATCAGTCAAGCAACATACACAGGTCCTAGAATTATCATACCATACTAACACAATATAATGGCTTGCAGCAAAGTTATCATGCCTAAAAGGGTTGCTTAGCTTTCCTAATATGTATCTTAAAAGTGTTTATGTATCGTAAGAGCATCTTAAAATGAGTAAAATTGAAAAGTTTGGTTGCAAATTGTTGTAAAACGAGGAAATATAGCCCTGTGAAGTTCGCAAATTTTGTACATATTTGCATTTTAATACAAGAGGGATAAATTTTACCGTGCATAATACAAATATATACAAAATTTGTGAGCTTCACAAAGGCTATATCTTCTTCATTTTACAACATTTAGCAACCAATCTTTGCAGGTTTACTCATTCTAAGATGCTCTTTCTAGCTGTGGTGTTGGATTTCATTCTTTAGTGCCTTAAACCCAAAATAAATCTTTGTAATTTCTGTGCTATACCCATACTCAACAGAAAAAAAAGTCAATCTTAAGTTAGTTTCAAAAGAAAAATATTGTTACTAGGTCAGGTTGGATCCAGCATTCCTTCTGAAATTGATCAAAGATAATAAAGATAAATTTCCGAAGCAATGCCCAAAAAATTTGCAATGGGTTGACTTTAAATCTTGATCTCAGAACATCAGATTGATTTTGTTCATGTGATTTCATGTATGAGACAATTTTACTCATCAAAGATGAATGTTGGGCATCAATTGTTTAACCTCATCAGTAGTGGTATTTAAAGTCCGTGTTGATACTATAACTGGAAATGACACAAAGAATTCAAAAATCGCTGTTTATAATTGAATTGTTATGTCTGAGAGTTATAAAGCATTGCCTGCTATAACACGATACAATATTTACAAAATTTCACTGTTTACATGGTGATTTTTTAAGGTATTATACCATAAAACAAAATCACACGAAGTCCAAATCAAAACAAAGCCATATGAACTTTGTCCGTCAGCGTGAATTAAATACAACAGTATCAAATTTTGCCAGTGTAAACATTGCTGTTTTTCAACAGCAAAACAAAATATTTGTCGAACGAAGCCCTAAGCATTCTTCCTGTAGTGGATACGGTTATTTCCATGGTTCTAGCATTGACAGTTTTGAACGTATTGTGAAAATATGCTCATAAAACCTTTGGATCGAATTAGGAAAAAATGTTGTTGTGAAAACATGATTTTACAGTAAGCTATATTGCTATATCAACAATGATTTATTATAAGTTAAACATTTCAGAACATTTTATGAAGTATTTAGGATATTATATATAAATATAAATGTTGAAAACATACAAATAAATGGCAATAAAAGTGACAGAAATTCGTAATATTTCCACCCAAAGGAGGCGAATGTACTCACCAGCAGCAAAATGAAGTGGCGATGATTTTCGTCCTGCCGTATCACGTATATTCAAGTCCAAACCATTCATAATATACCTTCGTACTTTAGAAACATCGCCATTTTTGCATATTTCAAATATCTCTCGTATTTCATCGCTAACTTTCTCTCCAAAAGGTGAATCTAAAACGCTTCGACTACACGCCATTTTTCTATAGCTGCTTCTTCGCGGTGCTTCCACTTTCTACAAACAAAGTCCTTATTTCTGCGTTCAAGATTTCAAAGCTCAATCAACTGATCTGAAGAATCAACTGGATAGCGGAAGGTTGTCTATCTTCTGCCGTTCCGCACGTTGTAACTCTATGGTTGTAACCAATAATCTATTGTAGTTGTAAAGCGATATTAGCGATTGTGTGCAATAAAGTATTGTGTTGTAGTGGGTTTACAATTACAATTACAATTACAATAACCTTAATCCAAACCCTAATCCTAGCCCCTAACCCTAATCTAAACTTGATGACCTTTTTTTAATAATCTTTTTAATATACCAATTACCAAAGTTCATAAGTTCAGGGTTTTGGTTCATATCACCGTCATAATACGCAACAAATATATCAGAAGAATAGAGAGAGCTGTAAGTAAGATGTATTGCATTGAGTAAGATGTGTTCCATTTAATATCCACCCCCACAAACCGTATCTTGCATAGATCACTTTCTAGTAAACCCTCCCTCTCCTTCCCCTCCAACTATAGATTATCCAATTCCTACAGGTAGTATTTTGCCATTGTGTACATAAGCTCATTCGTTGCTAAGAACGTCCAGTCTACTCCTCTCGTAAAATTTTAAGTAAAATAGCACATTGACCAAATATTTTTTTCTTGAAATATCCATTTTTGTGTCAAAAATTCCATTTTCCCCATTTATTTCCTTATGTGCATGACACTTGCCAGAAGATTGTGCATGCACAGTGAAGCATGTGACACAATTTGGCTACAGTTTCACATCTGTATTACTGTATATATTAATTAGTAGAATTAGAAAGGCTCAGATTTGACTTCACTGGCTTGGTCCCTATCTGATTGGTTAATCGAATCAATATATGAAACACATTTGATTGGTTGATAGTCGTCCCTTAATGTTGCGGTAGTTGTAGTGGATGTCAAGTGACTACCGGAACACCGGAACACCACCGGAACACCACCGGAACACCACCGAAACACCGGAACACCACCGAAACACCGGAACACCACCTAACCCTAACCCCAACCCTAACCCCCAACCCTAACCCCAAACCCTAATCCTAACCCTAACCCCAAACAAATTGGTGGTGTTCCGGTGTTCCGGTGGAGTTCCGGTGTTCCGGTAGTCAGTGTTTTACTACATGCCGTCAAGTCTGGACTGAACCTACTTGGACTGAACCTCTCTGATTAATCTGTGATCACAGGAAATTTATTTTTAGACATACATATGGCCTGATATGGAGTCACTTGAAAGCTTTGCTGCAAGAGGATTTTAATTTTTCTTGCATGAAATTTAGAGACTTGAAATTCCTATGCACGATTCAATTCTTCCTGTTACCATCCCCCCTGGGGATTTGCGTATTTTTTATTTCCAAATTGTCAATGCAATTCTCCACCCCCAGGGAAATAAAGAAAGCCAATTTTCCACGCTGGAGACAACATTCACAAATCATTATTGCACACAAACACGGGAATTGAACCATGTATTAATGAAAGATATGGGCACAGAGTGGTTAGCGTTCGACAGCTGGCCTCTGTAGCTAAGCTGGTTAGAGAGCCGCAATGGAATAGCAGGTTTGATTCCTGCCAGGGACACGTATAGTTTCATTTTTTTGCAGTTGTTCCTAATCAGGTCTAATAAATGTATATATATTTCCACTCAATAATTTCCATCAACTATTACTGAATTGAGATGCAAATAAAATCTCGAGGTATATAATTAAGCCCATATAAATGGGCAAAGGCCAGCTTGCTGGGCAGGATATCATACCACTAGCCCGCGTGCAGGCCCAAGGGAGCAGGCTCAAGGGAACTTATCAGTTCCCTTGGGCCTGCACGCGGGCTATCATACCACTACAGTACCTGGTTGATTCTACACGATTATGGCCTAAAATGTTCCAATTGTAGTTTCAGGATGTGTTGAGGGCCTATTGATCTGGGTTAGGTAGCATGATGTCTGGTTGGGATAGAGTGTTTACTGTATATAGAGAATTTCTTGGCTTGTATAGCCGGGATTCTGGCTTAGCGTCAAGATAGTAGCAGAATAACAGCAATCCCTATACTGTGACAATACTGGCAAATGTCGTCTCCCGTTTAGCCAGGTCATATGAACAGGCTCCAATTATGACTAGTGAGCAAGATGAAGTAAGAAACAGTGAAGTTCCTACGTCCACAAATTTTGATATCTGAACAGCGATATTGAACAAAATCATTGTGCCCCAAATTCATAGCTGAATAACTGTAACAACACTCATGCATATAGCTGAATAACTGTAACAAGGCTGCAAGCCAAAAGTCTAAAGAACTTAAGATTTCCAGCAACAAAAGGTAGTCATATCTCAGCAACCTAAATCCCCCCACCCCCCCCAGTATCCGCCACTGCTGAGGAGAGTTTTCGGAAGTGAGAGAAATTCTTTCAAAAGTTTGTTGTCAAGCGAAAAATAGCGAGAAAAATACTTTTCTCATGGGAAGACTTCAATGATTGGGATTCAAACCTGGTTTTCTGATTAGTTAATTTAATTCGAGCAGACAACAACCCAGCAGTCGAATTTGGTACGTCAACAGTATCGTTGCATAGCTAGGCCTATGTTAAACTTGGTAGGTTGAATAATTGAACAAATGCTCAATGTTTTAATTAAAACCTTTATTACATTTTGATATGCATACAACCCAATGATATAATAAATTAATTTGAAATTCTTGCGGGTTTTATTACCTACTTTGGGCGATGTGACGATGTTACTTACAGTATTATATTTAAGTTAGAACTCCTCCGGGAATATTTAGTATAAATATTCCATACAGAGTCCAGAGTTCTCTACAACTGGACTCTGTAGCTCAGTTGGTTACCAGTTTGGGTTCAACTCCTGCCAGACGGCCATATATATATATATATATATATATAATTTTACTTTCCTTTTTTGCATCAACTCTTAATTTATAGGTCTAAAAATGTATAAACATTACACTCGAAATTTTCATTAAGGACTTTTGACAGCGGATAACTCGAAAATAATTTGAGATATAAAAAAACAACTGTATAAATGTCTTATTTGACTTATATGTTGATTTTTGTAAGCTTTCTGATGATGCAAGTCTTTTTTTGTAAATGAATACAAAATTTCACATTTCTTGCTGTAATACAATTTAATAGAGGATAATCACTGATCACCCATTTTCCCGATATTGGGCAAGTTTTCTGCTTGGGAACTTTTTTTGGTAATTGAGCATCTATGCATGGTACTATGCATTGAACCACAGAAAATCTATTCCCCAGGGGGTGGCACGAAATTGCTTTTCTATAGGCACTTTTTCCCACAATGGCCTAATACGTACTATATATAGCTATACCCCCTTTGCTAAACGTCACCATGCATATTTTTACGTAGCTATAGCCATTAATATACTATTGTTATTATGTTATGTTCCTATATATATATATATTTACACACCCTCATAATTTAAATTCTATAAATTCCTAGGTACAGTAATTGTGTCAATTTTTACTGTCATCTTTCCTTCATCGTATTGGTTGCTTTCACAAAAGCAATGGCTGCCAATTCCTAGAAGAGAGGAAGAAAAATGTGGCTTACCACGAAGCTATAGCAGGGCTCGAAATAACGGCCGATCAACGATCAATGATCAGAGAAGCAAGATTGTCGATTATCTTGATCGGCAAGAACCATCGTCTCAAAAACATGGTTAATGTCGTTAACAGACACCATGCAATACTACGGTATTATCACAGAACATATAAACAGAACGTATCCTATATACTGATTGGCCAGATTTTCATTTGATCAGCAGAAAATCATGACTGCTTATCAGCATGATCGGGAACGCTGGAAACGTTATTTCGAGCCCTGCTATAGAAAAAGGTCCTGCATGTGGTTGGTTAGTTATAAACAAAACAAAACTATTTTGTTTGGAAAAGCCAATAAAAAACATGTTAATCTTTTCGGGAAAATGCATACATATGTGTTGGAAATAGTGTCACAAATGTTGAATACTTACCTTACAAAATTCTTCTAAGACAACAACACCTTGGAACAAGTTGAGTTGAGGTTCACTTGAAGATAAGCAAAAATTAGTAAAAATTGGATTGTTCAGCTCAGATAGTTTCTTACTATAACTAGACAAATATTTGTGCATGAAGGGCGGATTGCGGTCATTCTTTCAGAAGGTTACAGTCGGGTTACAATACTGCCAAGAAATACCTCGCTGAGTGTGTCCAGATAGGAGGGGGCTGTTACTTGATTTTTCATCGCATGACTTCTCTCCCCCACTGCACCGCCACATAGTTCGCTTTTTTGACAAGATTTTTATTAAAAACGTACCTTTTATTTTCTATTGATTGTAAACTTAATAATCTTTTTCTCGTATGTATTAACCTCTGCTTGAAATTTGGCAATCTTTGTACTCGGTCTTTTAGATCCTCGACAACCTTGAAAAACATTAAGAAGAAGATATCATTACTGTCGTTCCAATTGAAGTGCATGTTGCTCAAATATTGATTCAATACTTTACCTCGGGCTGACCAATTCATTTCATCAAGTTCCTCGAGATATTTATACACTTCCTAGCATAATTATAAACTTCCTGTTGAATAGTTTGAATGCACCAATCACCTTTGTTGTTTGTGCAACTAACCAATCATAAATATAGAAAGGAAGTGACCAGAAATGATCAAATACTTGGAATTGGCTCTTTCACAGGAAGTGTATGAATATCTTGAGGAACTTGATCAAATGAATTGGTCAGCCCGAGGTAATGTATTGAATCAATATTTGAGCAACACTTCAATTGGAACGACAGTAAGAAGAAAATAAATATTGTGTTTTAGAGAGAATTTCATACTATTAAGGCCCGTTTACACTTGCAATTTTTGCTGCGATTTCTAATGCGATTTTTTCCTTCTGATGCATGTGAACGAGTAGATGAGTTACGGAATGTTCGGAGTACGTGTACCCTCATCTGAACATTCATAACTTATCCACTCGTTCACATCCGTCACAAGAAGAAAATCGCACCTAAAATCACAGCAAAAATTGCAAGTGTAAACGAGACAAACGAGCCTTTACGTCTACCTACAACATTACGTAAAGGCTGGTTTACATTATCAAAGTTTCTGTGATCGCATTTTGCATGGGTAATTTGTAAGTTGTGAAAGATTTGTAAGAAATGTTTGAGGAAACTGATTCAGTGTTTAACATTAAGTCAGTTCCCTCAAACATTTTACTACAAATCCTTCAAAACAACTTCAAAAATCCTTCAAAACTTTATTTTACGCATCTTTGCGTTCAGTTGGTGCCAGGGATGGATCCAGCATGATCTGGTAGGGGGGGGGTGCAAATTTTTTTAGGGACCCCTATTTAAAAAAATTTTCCGGAAAATTTTTTTTCGGAGAACAATGACCTCTTCCCCCCCCCCGTCGACAACTTTTTAGGCAAAAAAATTTTCCGGACAAGTACGTTGCAATTACCAGTGACTTTACCCGTCTATCAACTTGTTCCACTACTGCAAAGTCTTGCTTGACTGCAGTATTTGAATTGTAATTGCTGTTCACAGTTCGCTTATCATCATGTTATTACTCAAATTACTGAATCTCATTTTGTCTCTAATAATTTTTTGCTATATCATGAAAAATAGCAACCCCTCTGCACCCC